ACGAAGAAGGCCGCGAGTACCAAATCAAACTGTCGCTGTCGGCATCCGGCCTCGACATGATCGACTGCCCCGAATTCACAGCGTGGGGGCGGTTTGGCGATGAGGAGATGCGCTGTGTTCTGTTTGGCATTCGTGATCGCTTGCCTTACCGTCCCCCTAGCAGCCCGGCTAAGGGCGGTGGTATGCCCGAGTTGCCGAAGCTGGCTGCTTCCCTGGGATATCTCGAGGTTGGGACTATCGATCTGTCTGACGGACTGATGAGCAGCGTGAGCACCGACTACGAAGTTATCATGGACGTGGGGAGCGATGATATGCCCCTGTGGATCATGGCGCCGCAGCAGTGCCTCAAAGACCGCGCCATGGCAGCGCAGCGTTCGGTCGTGCGCCCTTTAGTGCCGATTTTTAGGAGAATGATGGATGACGGGGGATGTCTGTACGATGTTGCGTGTATTTTGTCGTCGGTGCGGAAGCTAGGTGGCAGGGTGAGTTACGCGGAGAGTTGTGAGTTGGTGAGCAAGACGCGCGCGGTCATTGATCCTGCGTGTGTTGTGGCGCTGGGGCCGGAGTGGATGTGAGCAAGATTGACCTCGTAGGGACTGATTCGATCTGGCTGCTATTCCCAACTTTTAATAAAGTGGTTAAGCCATGCACCTCTCCAGTTCGCTAACAACCTGCCGTTCAAACGGCAGCGACAACGGTATCTCGGCATTGTCACCTTCGATCCCCTCTTCATCATCGTCAAAGGCAAAAGGACTCCTAACTGCCGTCCTGTCAAATTTATTATTCAGGCAGCGCTTTGTTGCACGCCAGGAGATGGTCCCCATCCTGGATCTCAACTTGTCGCAGTACTCGCCCCGGATCTTTTTTGTAGAGTTCCTCGTCAGACGCACACTGCTGCCGGAGCGAGCCGAGCGACTCCCACAGCCCTATCTCGAGCAGCACCAGCCTAAACGAGTATATATCGTACTCGAGCTTGAATCGCGGTCTTTGGGGAGCAGGCTCTGATGAATAATCGGGGAGCGAATCTGGGTAGCTATACAGTTTGCTCATCTCTTTGGTCGGCTTGCAGCCTTGGGTTGAGATGGATATGCTCTGCGATGATGTGCACCGGTCTGGTTGTCCCCATAGCCCAATCTCGCCATTCGATTGTTCCAGTTGTACTCAGTAAAAATGAACTCACAGAACAACAACAGTTCATCATCATCGGTAGGTAACTAACTCACCTTCATATTACGTATAGCAAACAACAGCCCTAGATTGCAAAGTCCAAAAAATTATAACCGTCTGCTCAGTTCCGGAGGAGGTATAGACCAAAATAGTAGGTTTAGAATTGTAGTTTGGTTTGGGGCTAAAAGGGAAAAGGGGATGGGCGACCCCGGAATCGAACCGGGGTTTGTTCGGAAGGTGGGAATTATGACCACAACGAACCGTCCTGACCACTAGACTAGTCACCCTGTTATTATTGAGTTTGTGGTGTCTTATCCTCTCTCATGTGGATGCAGCTGGGACCAGTGGGCACCAGGCACTCTCCATGGAGTGGAATAGGGGTGGACTACATGTGCAGAGGAATGACTCATAACACATGCGTCAGTCTAAGACAGTCTCAAAAACCCCAAGGACAATATATCTGAAGCGGTGCTTTCCAGACTCGAGATGAGAGTCCAAATGACCTGAGTACATGTACGCTAGGAATCGGACACGGTAATCAACACAACCTCCAACTGACAACCATAAACCATCAACTCCTCTTGTCAAAATTATATCTTATACCCCTGCTCCCTCCTCACAATCTTAAACTTCCGTGCCTTTCGCGGATGATATCCCAGAAACAGCCCAACAAGAGCCAAATCCTCCCTCCCAAAGTCGGGCGCCACCTGCAGGTCATCAAAGCGGTGGAAGATGCTGCCGACGGTCGCGTACAGCTCAGCCATGGCGAGGTTCTGCCCTAAGCAGTTCCGGCTACCTCTCCCAAACGGTATCATGCATCGTTCCCGAGCGCGCACCTTTTCTGGCTGGTCCATCCAGCGGTACGGGTCGAACACCTCCGGGTTGGCGAACGCATCGGGGTCGTGGTGCAGAATCCACGCGCTCATGCTCACGACGGTACCCGGCGGCAGGGGAATTCCGTTGAAAGTGGCTCCGCTGGGCGGAACAACGCGCGGGATGGCGCCTGGGAGACCGGGGTTTAGTCTGAAGGGTAAGTGAAGATACACTTGTCAGTACCATGTATCATACAAAGTAAGCCATGGTTACCCACCTTAACGCCTCCTTGATCACGCCATTCAGCAAAGGCAGCTGCTCCAGTGCCGGCAGTGTCATGGTATCAGGGTTGGGAAACGCATCACGCAGCTCCTTGGTCAATCGCCCATAGATGGCCGGGTTGCAAAGGACTTCGAAAATTGCCCGCGCAGCCGTAGACCCTGTGGTCTCAGCACCGGCACCAGTGACGTTGACGGCATCAGCAAACACGGTCTCGTCCGACAGCACTTGCCGGAACTTCTTGCCGTCCGTCTCGTTGAGAGGTGGTGGTTCCATCAGGTCGTGGAAGATGGTCCTGCGCGACGGCTTGACCCCCATGTCGATCTCCTTGCGGACCTTGGTGACAGCAGCGCGAACGGTCTACAGACATCAGTGACCATAACACAAAATAAAAGAACGAACAATGCAAGAAAGACCACTCACAGTAAGACTATCGAACCACTTCTTAAAGGGCGGGAAAAGCATCACATTCAACCAATCCGGAATCAAACCAAACAGCGGCACCGCCGGCGGAAAGGTCAGGATGTAAGGAAAGAACCAGTGGATCGCGCGGATCGCGTCCTGGTAGCTCATCCCAAAGTCCGGCATGTCAAGCTGGTTCCAGCAGCGCGCGTACGCGTACTCGGTGATGACGTCGACAGAAAACGCGCGGATGGCGTGGTGCATGTCGAAGATTTGCTGTCTAGAATCCAGTCCCGCCTGCAGCATGCCCGTGAGCTGGGCGGTCTTGTCCCAGATGATCTGCTCGAGGTCAAGCACCGACCTCCTCGAAAAGAACGGGTTGAGCGCCGACCGGCGGACCTTGTGCTCCTCGTTGGACATGATGGTCAAGATGGTCGTGGTCTTCATAACGCCCTCCATGGGGGTGTAGAGACCCGGGTCCTTTGTGAATTTGGTTCCCACGGTGTGGATCTTTTCGTAGGCTTCTGGGTCGCTCAGGTGGACTTCGTTTGGGCTGATGCGGACGACTCGGCCTGAGTAGATTGTGGTTTATGGGGATTAGCTGTACTGTATTCGTGAAGTCGTGGTGCACGTGTGGGAATTTTACCATATTTTGCATGGAGCTTTGGAAGAATGTGCATCAGCTGGCCTTCCTGGATTCCTTGGTAATAGAAGACCGGAAGACTTGAGATTGACATGAGGAAGGGACCTGGAACATGGGACAACGGGTGGAAGTATCGACGGCGGATGATGATGCATCCAAGCCAAGAGACGAGGTACAGGGCGATGTATACTGGCCAATGGCCTGCAAACGTGGTAGAACCCATTGTGATGGCTTCGGATGATAAGGTGAGTGTTATTGTTAATTGTAATGTAGGTAGTAAGGAGAGCGAGCATCCAAGAGGTGATTGAACCTCTAAATTACCTGGTACACAGTCTAAATGTGGCAGACGTCGCAAAGGGAGGGGACCAGAAGGCGAGAAGGCAGGGCACACAAAGCTAAGTTCTCCCCTATAAATACCATTACGTTTGTTGGCTACTAGTAATGCTGACCGCACGTTACTAAACCTCTATCAATGGGCTACAACCACCCCGCTTGGAAAAGCTCCAAAGACAGGAGTCCCAGGACACGATGGCTATTGGGCCACGAGATAGGCAAGCCTCGGTGGCTTCATGGCTGATCGGGTGCCAGTATTTCCACGGCATTGGCTCCCTGTTATCGTCCGGCATCCCCTATACGGAATATCCTGTAAGTTACGTCATGATTCTGTCGGCCGATCTTAAATACGAATCGGGTGAGAGAATCCGGTATGCTACTGATAACTGCAAAAGCTCGTCGGGTGTATTTGTAAGTGACCCACCCACATATTAAGACAAGGTCTGGCCATCGCTTGGCAGGCCTGACAGGGCTTAGGCGCGGTAGCAAGAGAAGTCGTTTGGTGGAGGGAGGGCTGTTGAGCTGGAAATAACCGCCGGGCATCATCAGACAAGCCGACGAAGTGTTGAGTAACCCAGCTTGGATAAGTACGCCGTGTTTGTCCTGGCAGCTTCGCATTAGTGCTGAGACATCGGTGTATAGATCCAGTCAACTTGTACCGACAATATCACCACCCATCTGTCTAGTTGTATAGTATGTCGGCACATCATGCAGGTCAGCATTGATAACACGCCGCGTCATTGTGAAAAAGCTCTGATTGCTGTCCCCGTCTGACGGTCCGGGTGAGCTTCCCCGCCAATTAGTAAATTGCGGTGCTTCGTATCCCGGTGTTTGTAATTTCATCCCGGAGATGGCTTACATCGTCGGTCAGCATGTTGCAGGGTGCATATTGGAGCTTTATACCAGGTATTTACCTGAAGTCCGTCTTGCCGCGCGGGGAACGAAGCCAGCCATGCAACATGGTCTCCTTTCGGGCATATTACTGCCAAGACTGGGGAGTATAGTTGACCACGCTGTGGGAAAAAAACCATGGGATACTATCCGTGAATGTCCATCTATGAAAACACTGTGTGACTCTAGGTTGTTTGCTAGCATCTGCCGCTAGCAAGTGTTTGTCGCGGGATAGTAACATGGAGAGGCAAGTAGCCCGGGGTGTGGTCGGCATGGCGACTCCTTTTTGGATCTAGTATTCTCTTATTATGGTCATTTGTCTCTATTTTCCAATCCAATGCACTGTTAGCCCATTCGGGTAGTCTATAGCGAGTCCGTAGAGAAAGTCCGTGTTATATACCCTGAAAAGCAAAAGCAAAAAAGATCCAGGTTGCTGGGCAAGTGTCATTCCTAAATCAAAAGCAAAAGAGAATGGGCGACCCCGGAATCGAACCGGGGTTTGTTCGGGAAGCAGAAGACAACAACCACAACGAACCGTCCTGACCACTAGACTAGTCACCCATGAATGGGAAGCGGATGAGTCATCCACTGTTGTTGTGAGTTTAGGAAATGCGTCTTTTATGATTCTACCATCTGCAGTCCTGTGTGCGTCTAAGTGGGCCGAGCATGCAGATAACCTCCACTTTATTAACAACCAGGTAATCCATACATGCATCATGTTCTGCTTCTAGTCGGAGATATGTTTCTCAGCAGAGGCCTGGGCGCCTGATACCGACCTGTGTGTGCGTGCTATCGAGAACTATTCAAAAGTGGTGGTATATATAATATGTTGGAACGCAAGCAGAATGCATTTAACCAAGGTACCTTACTTATTGGTTGTTTAAGAGAGTAAAGCTTAGCTCTATCAATACATTTACTAAATATACAGAATTCTAGCCTTTGGGCATGTAACACCCAATATATATAAAAAAACAATATGATAGAATAGTGGTGAACCAACGAATATACATGCATGGCTACCACATAGTGTTGCAGCAGATCGACTCAACTATATCAATGCATTGTCATACAATGATCCGGTACCAGGGATTCGACAGCATATTGAAAATTGCTAGTGCAGAGGTCTGGTCTTACAGTCCGAATACAACTCGCCCTACAATCCGAATACTACGCCATGAGAAGCACAGTCTGAAGATACCTAAGGTACTCGTATATAAAGGTACCTTAGGTAAATGCTAGTGTTTATTTATAGTCGCTGCCTGAGGCATCCATCCACACCGACTCCGAATTTTTTTCCTGGCGGTGAAACAGGAGTCCAGTTTTGCTCCTTCAACCACAGTCATACCTAGGTATATACCGTAAATCCATCAACCCACTCTCCTCCATAACCGGACTCAATATCACCGACTAGGTAGTCAACCATCATGGCATCACAAGGGAACCAAGTTCCAAACACACAGCCAGCGGAACAACCATCATCAATCCAGGACACAAGAACAATAATCGTCGCCTCGCAAAACCCCGTCAAGATCGATGCCGCGCGCCAAGGCTTCCAGGCCATGTTTCCCGACATCAACTTCGTCGTCCGCAGCATGAGCGTCCCGTCGGGCGTGCCCGACCAGCCCTTTTCGGATCAGGAGACCTTCCGCGGCGCCACAAACCGCGCATTCAACGCCTGCACCGTCCTACCGCAAGCCGATTTCTGGGTCGGCATCGAGGGGGGCGTCTGCCACGATCCCAACGAGGAAAAGGTGCTGCAGTCGTTTGCCTGGGTGGTCGTCTTGGGCAAGTCGCTGGACGACGAGAGCCCCGGACGCGCGGGCAAGGCGCGCACGGCGACGTATTATCTGCCCGAGGAGACGAGTACGCTTGTCAAGGGAGGGAAGGAGCTGGGCGACGCGGAGGACCTACTTTGGGGGCAGACGAACTCGAAGCAGCAGAACGGCTCCGTCGGGCTGTTGACCGGCGACGTGGTTGATCGGAAGGGGTATATGCAGCAGGCGGTTGTGCTTGCCTTGATTCCGTTCAAGAACCCCAAGCTCACGTTTTGATGGAATACCTTGGGTAGGTACATGTACTCATGGGCTGCCTGTCTAGGTAGGTAGAGTGTGAGATGCATGGGTGATGCAGAGCAGTTGCAAATAAATTAGAGTTGATTGGGATATAGAGCCCCCTTTCCCAGTCCCTACTTCGCGGTTCCCACGTCCATATCCTCGCCTTTGAAGTTGACGGCCTTGCCTCACTACAGCAGTCCGTCTTCCTCCCAGCGCGGGTACTTGGAAGCCACCTCTCCGCGTGCCTTGGCTTCAGCCCACTCTTCACGTGCCTTGTCTCTGTCCATCTTCTCCTGTTCACATGCTTTGTCTCTAGCTATCTTCTCCTTGGCGGCAGCCAGTTACCTCTCGTTCTCCACGTCCGAGTACTCCAGATATTGTATGGAGCCGATGCGTGCCCATGGCCTTCTGATCCAGATGGGAAGACCCGGGATGTCATATTTTCCAAATGTCCAACCTTGTTTGCCCCTTTCTTGCTTGGTGTAGCCATCGCTATACGTCCTTAATCTCGGGTGCGTGGATAACGAGACCGTACTTCTCTGCTAATGCCTCTGCAGCATCCATCAGTTGCCAGCGCCGGCCAGCAACACACTGTGGGATGAGCACATGATAGTCGACGGACAACTTGCGTAAGAGCCGATCAGGGCCCTTGATTGGGACCTCGTCGATAAGTTCCTGCATGACGCCCGTGTAGGGTGTGTGTCCCAGCGAGTACTTCACCTCCCCGAGGTCTTGACAGTGCGTGTGGTAGTAGTACAGCCCCAGCGCGGCTTCGGGCGTCTCAGTGCCGCAGCTGTTTAGGAGAGTTGAGGCAAGAGCCTGCCACTCCCGAAGAGACGGAAGCTGGCGCTTCCTGCACCGCCCTGCGAACTCGGTCAGATAGGTACATATCCCTGTGAGAGCAGGCAGCCTCTGCTGGCGGAACTTCGATCCCCATCCGAAATTCCTGACTGGAAGCAACCAATGCCGTAACCTATAAGCAACATGTGCTCAATCAGATGGCGGTACGCGTCGGGCCTCTGCATGTGAGCTTAGTACTACTGGTAGATGGCGAACAAGCCAAGTTTTCTCGCTGACATAAGGAGGCCGGGTCCCGCTGCATTCCTGGTTGTAAAGGATCAAGTCAATGGCCCCAAGAATCGGTTTCGCCTTGTCGTCGGGAAAGTCGAATGCCTCGAGGTCTTCGAAGAAGGCATCCATGGGCGTGGTGCCGTCGAGCCTGCCTCTTCTTGCTTGCTGGCGTTGTTGTTGATCGCCACCATAGCTGCTGATGGCCTGGCGCATTTGATCCAGGGTCCGGGTCCAGCTTGGGTTCGCCGGTTGGCCCTTCATGGTCTCGGCAAACTCGGGTCGCTCTGGCCGTACGACAACGGAGCCGATCCGGTCATACCACCTGGGTAAACAGAGCTGGCCGAGCCTTTGGATCTCGAAATCGGCCGAAGGGTGCTTCCCAGGCGTCGCCATGTCGAGTTAGATGTGGTGTGTAGAGAAGGATTTGGATTTGTGATGTTTCGAAATGACAAGCCCTAGTTTTATAAGCACTAATTACCACGCGTCATCGAGAAGGTCACATGCCGAGGACATCAGATTCAGAACAGCTCAAACCTAAAAGGAACGTCACCTAACTTTAGACTCTAACCGGACAATGTTAGCAAGTGTATTCCAAGCCCGTGATTTACCACTGAGTCGTTCTCCTCGTCACATGAGAACCCACACTACTAGGCATGTGGCGAGGCTAATCCGAAACTCGAAACCCACGGTCTGAGTTCCGAGTCAGGTGCGGATCAAGCTGAGTGGTGGCGATTTTGACACACAGAATATCGTGACACTATACTAGACCATTAAATCATCCTTACCAAGTAATTATCTGAGTTCATCAGTAACTACCTTATCTAAGCTGTGATGTGTGTCCCATCTCTGCGTGCTGCTGCCACAGTCCTCCTCCTCCTGGGCTGCGGAAAAAGCCTCCTGGCAACAAAATTCGACAACCCCAGCCCCTTGTCCACAAAGACGCTCCGCCAAAGCACTAACACCCCAGCCCCCATAAAGATAGTAACCATGAGAGTAACAGCAATCTTGATGCCCGCGTCGGCGACATGCACCCACAGCGCCGCGATGAGCCCAACATAAATCCCCACGGGAGGAAGCACGTACAGCACGACCAGATTCCCCCTCCCGTGTGCCCATAACCAACCCCGCAGCTTTGTGAGCTGGCAGCGCTTGTCGGTCGGGCACGTTTTCGGAAACGCGGATCCGTTTCTTTAGGTCCCGGGCCTGGCGATCGACGCTCGGGCTCCGCTGCACGAGCCGCAGCGCGTAGGCGAGACCGACCAGCCCGAAGGCAGAGACAACAAAAACCCAGGCTTTCGGGGGGCGCGTCCTGTAGTTCCTGGATCTGCATGCTGAGCAGCGCTGCGGCGAAGGACATTGGTATAAACACAAAGGCGAGCTCGGTGAGCCGCGTGACGCTCTCGGCCTGCGCGATGCCGCGCTTGCTTTCCAGGAGGGACATTTCCGCCCGCAGGTGTTCTTGAACCGAAACGCTACGGGCGACGAGGGAGTGGATCCGGCTTTGTAGGTCATGTATTATTGGTTGGCTAGTATTAATAGGGGTAGATGCATGTGGCCGTAATGCAAAAGGAAAAAAGTTGGAGAGGGATTGAGAGAGCTGTGGGAGCTCGAGCTGTGCCAAGTTGAGGAGGGTCCGCCAGTGCGAGAGGCGCTCCTGCATGAGGCGCTCGTTCATCGAGTCGACGGTGATGGTGTCGAGGGTGACGGCGAGGTGGGTGAGGACGTTGAGGGTGTCGGTGCGGACGACCTGGAAGATGGCGGACGGTACGAAGATGGTAGAAGAAGTAGAAGGACCGTTGGTCTGTCGCTCTTGTGCTGCTCTTCTGGGACGGGTTGATGGAGGCAAGGTACCGGTTGGGGAGACTTCGGGCCTGGAGCGCCAGTAGGAAAGCCAGTGCTCAACATCGTTCATGGTGGAGCGAGTGCCCCAAAAGGCGGTATTCTTGGCGTAACTGACCTTATGGGCCAGGCCACGGTGCGGTGGACCTCACCTCGGCCAGCACGGCCGCTCGATTCGGAGAAGTTGCGAGCTTTGGTGGTCTTTAGCAACATTCTGGGCAGGGGATCAAAGAAGAAGACAACTGTGTATTGGCGTCAGCACTGTCCGATTCAACCGAATGTTCGTCCTGTGATTTATTTTGAGAGAGCTTGTCACTCACTCTGCTCCCGGGCATGTTCGTCCGGGAGAGCATCTGGGACAGTCCGGAAACATGTTATTTGCTCCTCCCACGCTACTATGTCGGTGGCGAGATCAGTTGGGCCCTGGGGGTCGGTGGTGTCTTCCTCCGCGCCGGCGGGAGTGTTTCCGAGCGGCCACCCCCCGTCTGAAGATGTTGGTTTCCGTTGTCAGCGTGTGGTTCAACTTCTCTGCCTGTTTGGTCTCTGTCCATTCCAGCTTCTCGTTGACCAACTTGTCCCGATTCTCTGCCGAGAGTG